AACCACTGACCTTAAGGTTTGCAGCCCGATTCATAACCACTACACTACCAGAGCACCAGATACTTTAGTAAGGACAAAATAGTAGAAGGATGCCAGAAAAATGCTAAATGGCTACAACTCAAATGGCAGGTATACAACATCTTTTTAATGAATATGAATTGGGTAGTGTGTGCTTTTGTTATTGTTGTTGTTAAGTGCCATGGAATCCATTTTGACTTATAGAGACCTTGTATAAGGTTTCTGAGGAACAGTTGTTGGATTTGAACTGCTGACCTGTGGTTAGCCAGCCAGTGCTTATCCTATAGTACCACACCACGAGTCCTAGGATGTACTGTTGTTGTTGTTGTTGTTAGGTTCCATCAAGTCAGTACTGACTTATAGCGACCGTATGCACAGCAGAATGAAATGCTGCCCGACCCTGGGCCAACCTCACTATTGTTGCCATGCTTGAGTCCATTGATGCTGCTACTTGGCCAATCCATGTAGGAGGCTTCAAAAATTTTGTGCAAAATTGCATATTATCTTTCATTCCCATTTTTTGGTGAACTTTTGGGAAAGCACAGCACAAGAGTGTCTTATAAGAACAATATGACTGGAACCAGTAATTCTGGCTTATATTCATAAGAACTGAATGTTCAAATGGTCTTAGGAATCCTGGTGTGGTGCTGTGGCTTAATGTACTGGACTACAAAGTCAGTTTGAACTGCAAGGTTGGCGGTTCAAGCTCACCAGCCATTCCTCAGAAACCCATGGCATCAGGACTGGAGGAAGACTCATTAACAACCACAATATATATATGATACAACCTTGCTTGCTGAAAATGAAGAGGACTTAAAATATTTACTGATGAAAATCAAAGAGCACACCATTTGCTATGGATTGCTTCTCAACACAAAGAAAACAAAAATCCTCATCACTGGACCAATAAACAACATTCTTATCAATGGTGAAAAGATTGAAGTTGTCAAGGACTTCATTCTTCATGGATCAACTGTCAACACTCATGGAAGCAGCAGTCAAGAAATCAAACGACATGTTGCATTAGGCAAATCTGCTGCACAAGACCTTTTAAAAGTGTTGAAGATCAAAGATGTCAGCTTGAGGACTAAGGTATGCCTGACCCAAGCCCTGGTATTTTCAATAACCTCATTCTTGCAAAAGCTGGACAGTGAATAAGCAAGACCATAAAATAATTGATGCATTTGAGTTATGAGGGTGTTGGAGGACAATATTGAAAGTGCCATGGGCTGCCAAAGAACCAACATATCTGTGTTGAAGAAGTGCTCCTTGGAGACCAGGATGGCCAAACTTTGTCTCTCATACTTCGGACATATTGTTGGCAGGGACCAGTCGCTGGAGAAGGATATCATGTTTGGTAAGGTGGATGGTCAGAGAAAAAGAGGAAGACCTCCAGCGAGATGGATTGGCCAAGTGGCAGCATCAGTGGCAGCATCGATGGGCTCAAGTGTGGCAACAATAGTGAGGTTGGCCTGGGATAGGGCAGTGTTTTGTTCTGTTTTGCATAGGGTCCCTATGAATCAGTACCAACGCCATGGCACCTAACAACAACAATGGGTCAGAATCAACTCGATGGCCCTAACAACTACAATAACAACTGATATGGTGCTGTAGGGCGAACATTGAAATGCTAACTACCCACTAACTAGCCACTCCTCAAAAACCTTTTACAGGCTCACTATGAGTAGGAACCAACTCAAAAGCACATAACAGTTGCAATAGCACCAATATTGAATACGAGAATGGATTAGAAACAATGGTATGATTTGGAAAGATTTTTCTTTCTTTCCTTTTCATTTTTTTTAAGGCAGATGGTATTTTGAACACAACTTGTTAATTGAACATGCAAACTAAAGAGTTCTAGCTGTTTGAAGGAGGTGGTGGATAAGGTGATTTTATTTCATTTTAAAACCTACTTTCATCAGTTCAAACCTACCAGCTGCTCCACAGAAACCCTATACAGGATCGCTATGAGTCAGAACTGACTCAACAGCACCTAACAACAAGAGACTTAGCAAGAAAAGGCATTTAGAAATGGGAGTGAACTGCAAGATAGTGTTTGTGTAACAAGTACCTCAAACCACAGAGGTCACATGGGCTCTTTCTGCTTTGCTACTTTTTTTTTTTTTGCTTTGCTACTTTTGATTGCTTGTCAGAAGGTTATATTTTCAGCTTCCTCCATCCTGCAAGGTCACTCAACCATGTGCTAGCTGGAGTAATCTTTATTCACAATGTCTTTACAAAACCTCATGCAACAGAGCAGCAATGGCAATGTGGGGGACTACTGTGCTCGTCCAACGTATAGCTCCTGCTCCACTCTCACAGGCAGTCTTCAGAGGGACGATAATAGAAGGATTCAAATGCTGGCAGACACCGTGGCCACTTTGCCTCGGGGACGAAAGCAGGTATGATTGCTATTTTATACCTTTAGAGTACCTTGTTGTCTTGAGGACAGAGTATTATGTTTGTTTGACTTCATATTGAAATATTTACATTAGAAACTTTAGTATTAATGTTGAAATATAGGAAGAGGAGAGGATCAGAGAGCTGGTAGACTAAAGAATTGATACCATAACAACAACAAAAATTTTTTTAAAGCAAAACTTCAAAGTAGATTATTTCGCTCATTTGAAGAGGTGTTAGGTAAAATAAAAATCACTGAGCATGTCAAACTTGAAGGAGCTTAGCTACCTTCGATGTATACACAACTAATATGAGAGTTATTGGTCGTTTATGCCTCCCATTGTCAATTTCCTTCTGACCTTTACTCACAGCTCTTGATAATTAGTCATTTCAGTTCATATCAAATGAGAATACTTTTCTTGAGGATAAGTTTTGTTGGATAAGGAAATTATTTTAGGTTCTTGTGTGCTGCCACGTGTCACATGTTACTAGGAATTAGATGTTTTCCTAGCAAGAGGCACTACAGCATAATGAGTACCAGGTTGACAGTGAGCTTGGCCATTTTCTACTAGTGGAGACCTTGAACCAGTCATTTGCCTGTGTCAAGTAAATGCTGTAACTAATCAAGTTTACTTATGGGTCTTGCTACAATGACTGACATGTAGTATGTGCCCAGGAAAGGATAGATTGTGCTATTATTTTTACTAAAATGTGCTACCCTTTGGATAAAGCAGTCATTTGGAAAAATACACATTCAACTAAATTTATTTTTTTTAATTGTTTTTGTTCTCCAACATAACAATATGTAAATAAATATTTTTTAAGCAAGAATACCTTTTCAGGTTTTGGTTATATAACTTATTAACATGCCTCAAGTGTACCTCTACATTTAGACAAAGGACTTGTGCAGGAAATATTTCAAATCACTTTAAAGGATGGATTTTTGTGCATAAGTTTTGCATGTGTATCGTGTAATCCCCTTAGTGTTTGATTTCAGGACCAGAAAACTTCAGCAGGGTCTGAGCGTCATGATATCTTGTGGTGATGGGTGTCACCCATTTCCTTGGTGGCTTTAACACTAGAGATAAGGACATATACACTACACTTTAGGTGACGAATTTTCTTGATCCAAAGCACTTTTATGATATTAATGATAATCATATTATTATACTAACTTTAATCATTTTGTGATAATGTAATGATGAATGTCTTTATGAATTTACAGCTTGTCTGAAAACAAACCAATATGAGAAGGTTCAAAATCTTTATTTAGTTTTAGACATAGACCTGTCAGATTTTCTTTCTTTCTATTTGTAATGAACCTCTCAGATGAAATATAGTTCTCATTGTTGGCTATGATTTCATTCTTTTGTAGAACTTTTACTGCTAAAGATAATAATTTTTGAATTAGAGTGGGAACTTTCTACTCCTTGTATCCTTCACACTTGGAACTTCATTAATTTTTTATCAATTTATCAGGCCATGCCTGGGAATTTCACTGAGAAGATAGTTACTTGGCAGTACTGGGTGATGAATATGTTGCTAAGTACAGAGGGCACTAAGTTGAGAGGAGTGCCTTTCCTTCCCTTACAGGGTTTACAGTTCATACGTACAACCAATGGGCACTTACAAAGCGAAGCAAAGTAAATGTTCTAATCCAAGTGCATGCCTTTGAATGCAACCTTGAAGAATAGGTATTTCAAATATTGAAGGATATTCCAGAACAAGGGAGTAATTAATGCAGAAGCACACATCCTGGGGGCTTTAGGGAATATCGGAGTAACAGTACATTGGTTAGAGTGTATTAGGAGTACCAGGGGAGGGTTAATGTGGGTGGTTGCGGAGAAACCTCAGAATTATCTTCTTTACAGCATGCTTGGACTCAGAAACTAGCCATGGAATGTTTTGAAGCAGTGCAGGGATTTAGGTACCTTATTCTAGAAATGCAGTGTCGGCAAGTGGTAAGTGGCTGAAGACTAGTAGCAAGAAAACACTGTTGCAATAATTGGAGGAAGAGGAGATGCTGAAATGGAGAGGAGACCCAAAATCACAAATATGACAGGGAATGAAGACAAGGAATCACATATATGTGATTTTAAACATAAATAAAGATAGCGTGAACCGAAAAAGGTAATTAGTGTGCAAGGCAATTGGTATTGGAGGAAAATAATATAAGGGAATTGTTTTTGTCTAGTGTTGTCGAGTGAGTTGTGTCTCAGTGACCCTGTGTGGCTGATGGGTTTGAACCACCAGCCTTGTGGTTAGCCGTTCAGTACTGATCCTACAGCGCCAGGCATAGGAAATGTGTTGTGGTTGTTGTTTAAATGTCCTTAATCAACTTAAATTCATAGCTTCCTTGTATTGGGTTTCTGTGAACCATCAACATATGGTTAGCAGTCCAGTGCTTATACTCCAGTGCCACACTAGGACCCTATTTGAAATACATACACACACACATATACATATCAAATTGTATCCCGCCAAAATGTGTGTCAACTTGACTAGGCCATAATTTCCAGTTTGTATAGGGTTTCCAAGGAGCTGCTGGTGAATTTGAATGACCAACCTTGCTGTTCAAACTGACCTTGTAGTCCAGTGTTTTATCCTTAATAAGGCAGAAGGTGCTTATGCTAAAGAAGATTCGGTTATATTTGTTATGCTAATTAGAAGCCACCACCCTTACTCCTTCCACCCTTACATTGCATCTCAATGTAAAGAAAACAAAAATTCTCACCACTGGGTCAATAAACAGCATTCTTATCAACAGAGAAAAGATTGAAGTTGTAAAAGAGTTCATTCTTCTTGGATCAACTATCAACACTCATGGAAGCAGCAGTCAAGAAATCAAATGAAGAATTGCATTAGGCAAATCTGCTGCACAAGACCTTTTTAAAGTGTTAAAGAGCAAAGATATCAGCTTGAAGACTAAGGTGTGCCTGACCCAAGCCATGGCATTTTCAATAACCTAATGATACCCTGTACAGGGTCGCTATGGGTTGGAATCGACTCAACAGCACTTAACAACAACAAAATGTGCACGTGCAAGCTGGACAGTGAATAAGGAAGACCGTAGAAGAACTGATGCATTTGAATTATGGTGTTGGAGGAGAATACTGAAAGTGCTATGGGCTGCCAAAAGAACCAACAGATCTGTGTTGGAAGAAGCTGAGTTAGAGTGCTCCTCATATACATGCAAGTGTGTACGTCCTTATCTCTAGAGCTCCTTGGAGGCCAGGATGGCCAAACTTCATTTCTCATACCTTGGACATATTGTCAGTAGGGAACAGTTGCTGGAGAAGGATATCATGTTTAGTAAGGTGGAAGGTCAGAGAAAAAGAGAAAGACCCCCAGTGAGATGGATTGGCCAAGTAGCAGCATCAATAGACTCAGCATGGCAACAGTAGTGAGGTTGGCCCAGGATCAAGCAGTGCCTCATTCTGCTGTGCATAAGGTTGTTATGAGTCAGTACCGACTCGGTGGCACCTAACAACAACAACAACAACAACCCTTACTCTGGCCACAGCCCTGATCCAGTGTACGAGGAGTTTCCCTTGGGTGTGGGCTCCATTATATTTTTATCTTGTGATAAATAAATTGAGATAGAAGCAAAGCACAGAGAGTATCATCTAGATTCATGGAAAGAGAGGGACAGGAGGCAGACTTTCAGAATGTGCCCTTTGGTGGTGTAAATTATTATATATGCCCGAGTGTTTCAAAAAAATAATAAAAGAGCTAAAATGAATACAGACAAATACAATTAACTGATAGTACATGGAGGGGATTACAATCATGGTAATGAAACAAAGTGGATGATGTGTTGAATGTAAAACTGATGATCTACCCTGGATACTTTCACCCAATTCACAATAAAAACTTAAAAAAGGAAAGGAAAAAAACAAGCCTGTAAGTAGATATCCTGCCAGAGTTTCTAGCTGCCACTTGAATGACAGATTTTGGACTCGAGGCTGCAAGAGTTTCCAGACTAGTCCTCAAGATTATGGGCTTGCCAATTCTTACAATCACATGGATCAATTCCTTAAAATCAATCTAAGTTTCTTTCTCAAAAAAAAAGAAACCAGATCCAGGAGTGGAGTGTGTTCTTTGGGCCTGGGTCTTTTTTCTGAGAACCTCCTAGACCCAAGGGGAAGATCAATGCCAACACACATGGAGATGTCTAAGGAACGCTGGGCCCATAGATGTTGAAAGGAGGCAAGGACCTTCCACCAGGTCCCTACAGAGAAAGAAATCCTTCCCCCAGAGTTATCTTCCTGAATTTGGACTTTTAGTCTCCTAAACTGTGAGAGAATAAGTTTCTGTTTCTTAAAGCCATCCATTTGTTGTATTTCTGTTATAACAGCACTAGATAACTAAGACACACACACATATACATATCCCAACCAAAGCCACCAAACCCACTGCCATTGAGTCCATTCCAACTTACAACTACACTGTATAGGGTTTCTGAGGCTGTAAATCTCCAAGGCAGCAGAAAGCCCCTTCTTTCTCTTGCAGAGCGACCAGTGAATTCTAACTGCTGACCTTGTGGTTATCACTCGGCCTCCAGAGATCCTTTATAATAGCTCAGCACCAATTAATAAATGGTGATTTCTAAATCCTCTCTTCTCTGTCCCCCTTAACCTTCTCTCCATTGGTAGACTTCCTCTCTCAAACAACTTTTACTTATTGATGTCACCATGGCTTTTTAAAAAATAAGCAAACCAGTGTCTCTTAAACATGATACTTTTGATTCTGTACAATTATTATCATTGTAACTTAAAGCAAATATATCCTGACATCTGAGAATTTTCCGAATGAATGTTCGGTTCCTTTAACTGTCTTTAGAGCACAATGACCTAGTTAGGCACTGACTGAACAAAATCTCTTTGAAGACATGAAATGAGCAGGTGTTTCTCTGCCCACTGTTATTTTCAACACTTTCAGGGCTGACAACAACAGTTCATACTTCTCTTTATTGTTGGCTTTGGTTTCTGCAAAGCTGTATTTGGTTACCCTGTAGTTTCAAATTAGTTTTCAGAATCATTTGAGTGCTCACACTCAGACTTGTTTAAAAATAGATTTGTTTGTGCATATTATCTCAATACCTGTATTTGTAAGAGGTGTCAGACATCCCAGTGTGACTTCAGCTTCTGAGCATTTCTATTTTCTGCAATGGAAAACCCTGTAGGAAGGAGAGAGGAGAAAACAGGATAATCTTTTTAAATACGGACATGTGAAAGAATAGTGATTCTGCCTAACCATCCATTCCCTAGTCATAGTAGTTTGCTTTAGGTGGGCAGTTTTCACCAAATGCTGTAGTGAGAAACAGGCAAATGCTTAAACGTGCATTAGTGGTACCACAAAGTATCTTTGCCTAATTTTCTTTCAGTTTATCAAATTGTTCCTAAAGAGACAGCTTCTGGAAGGGTGATTTCTCTTAAAGGTTCAGATATGGTCTATTGTGCTAAAATTTTTAAGACATCTATTTCTGAGATGGGTTCTGTCCTTCAGGAACCTTCATCTAATTCATGGCAACACACCCACCTGTTACTACAACTCCCAAATATTCTTGCTACAGAGTTCTGACCACTTAAAAGAATACTTTCAGCTGGACAACTGTTACTTTTAGTATAAAAGCATTTGAAAAGTCTTCATTTTATATTGTAACATTCTTGAAGTCAATATATCCAGCACTTCTTATTGAGATTCAGGATTCCACAGTCAGATCTTCCTGGGCAGCTGCAACATTCTCTTTAGGATCCTCAAAGCAGTTACAAGTTAGGAAACGGAGCTCCATTATTTTGTTGTATCTCTGAGTAGTATGCTGCGTCCTGATATCCGGATGCTTTGGACATTAAAGGGGGAGAAATGTAGTAACCATGGGAAGACTGGGGAGGGAAACAGAGGACTGGAAAGAAAGCGGAACTCAGTAGCATGAGATTTTGAAATGAACAATAACAAAACCCCACCTGAAGTATCTTCCCTTCCCCCTTCCTACTTTCAGGAAGTAAACGAATGCAGAGCGCAGTCCAGGAAGTAACAATCTGTGTTTTAGCCACATGCATGGCAACGGATTGCACTTTGAGCTCCTCTGAGGCCAGGCTACCTATGTGACTGAGCTACAGATTTTTTCCTTATCTTTTACAAATTGACGGCTAAAGTATTTGGTTTTGGTTTCTCTGAGAAAATGGACGTTGTTAATAACGTTGCATAACAACAAATACCACGATTTAAATATTGATGCCTGATCTTTTAAGTCATTTGATTAAAAGCAGAAGAAAAATGACCATAGAACTCAATCCCTACACATTTTATATTAGTAACTAGCAAGGAGTTAAGGAGCTTTGTCTATCCAGCAGTCATAATTGTATGTGTGTTTTGCAGGCTTGCCAAATTGCTAAGCTTGGATTTCTCGTATTAGATAATGTGCAATAAAAGACAGCTGTTGCCAGCATATGCTGTGCATTGCACATCAGTTCATCATTCAGGATTTCTGGTGCCATCGCTATAATCCTCTGAATGGTTCTGACTGGGTCTGGGGAGTATAGGAGCCCCCAGGTTAGATCCCAGAAAGGGAAATAGGGTTGCTCATTCTTGGGAAGGGCAGTCGCAAACTGATGAGATCTTAGGCATAATTCATTCCATTTAGACTGAGAGTTTTGTGTCTGAACAAGTTTGAGCTCTGCGAATATCCCGTTCCGTGTTGTTCTCCCCGAGCCTGACAGTCAGGGCCAGGTTAAGACATGTGAGGGCCCTAAACACTGATAATCTGTGGTGCCCCTTCTCTGCTTAATCACACATTCAAATAGGATACGTGAGTTTACATATACATGTAGATGATGGTAAGTCAAAAAGTATTGTTATAAGGTTCTCATTCATATATACATGGACTTATTCAAAAAAATGTATGTAAGCATCTCTCTGTGATCATTGGATGGCTGCAGAAAAGTTTTCTGATAATATATGTACCTTACTTTCAGTTGTTAAGTGGCTGTAGAGTCGATTCCGACCCATAGTGACCCTGTATAGGGTTTCCAAGGAGCAGCTGGTGAGCTTGAATCGCTGACTTTGCAGTTCACACGACTTTGCAGTCTGCAGCATTAGCCTACAGCGCCACACCAGGATTTTCAGTAGGGTGTTTTGCATATATTTCCAATGAAAACAGTGGCTTCTGAAGAGATCGCGAGTCCAGTTTAATTTAGGACGGCATGGTCAGCTCTAAACACCATGACAACTGTTTCGGGGGATTCCAAGTGGTTAAAAATCTTGAGAGATTTTCTTGAAAGGCATAGGGACTTATTATGAAGAATTTGAAGTAACTGAAAACTGCATTGGTGATAAAAAGATGGCCAAGTTGTACCAAGGAATTTTCTTCATCATGACCAAACATCTGCTAATATCTGAGGGTACCAAAGTTGTCGAATGAGAATGTCATTGGGAAACCTTACCTCATCCACCCTAAAGCCCTGATTTTGCCCCTTCACACTTCTTTTTTCCCCCCAAATTCAAAGAACATTGGAAAGGAACAACATTCAAGTCTCTCAAGGATGCTCAAACTGCCATTTTGACCTGAAGATGTAAATTGCATAGTCTAGAATTCTTCAGCGAAGGGTTACAGAGAACAGAAGTGTATAGATCTAGATGGAGGATAGGCTGAGAAACAATAGTTTCACATTTTGAGAATTTGTTTAATAAAGGGGTCTATGAATTAGTAACAATACTTTTTGACTTAACCTTCGCATATGAGGAGGCGTCAAAAAGTTTGTGGAAAACTTCCAGTACCTTTTCACTCTATTTTCCATGAACTTCTTGAAGTCTCCTTGTATGTGTATGTGTCTTAGTTACCCATGATGTAAATTCTTTTTAAACAACATCATTTAATTTCTAAAAAGAAGCTCAGTTTTAAGGGAAATGAAAAATGAAATACACTTATATAATTTTTATTATTTAAATATATATTTAATTTATTCCCCTGAGGAATTATTAAATTTCCTTACACAGAGACACATAAATATTCTGATAAAAATATAAAAGCAATGTTTCGATAAATGTCTCTTGTTACTTTCTTGGAAGATGAATTTCAAAAGACACTCATTGTTGTAAAACAACTTTGCATGATAAATATTGAATTTTGAATCCTTTTAATATGCTAATACTTCACTTATTAGCATATATTGAGTAATATCAAGCATTGTGTCCCACACAACAGACAATAGAGAACAAATCTCACTTGATACATAAGTTAAAACTTTTTGTGTTTGGTAAATGTTAATATTTCCAGTATTATGATTGGACATTTGCAATATTTGTATTACATTACATTTTTACCCATGCCAGTATTATACTAAATGTATGCTAGATTGTGTCTGTGTGTGTGCCAAACAGATTTTAAAGTTACAAATATTATTATTTACAAAAGTTAGGTACATAACTCTGTATGTAAATGCTGTGCAGTTAGAAAGAAACCTGATTGAATTCATTACAAATTCTAACTCACTCAAATTCCTCACATTTATTCATTATGTGGTACTGGAGTTCCCATTGTTTTTTATCAGGATGTGAGTAAAGAGCGTGTGTCATGGCTAAGAGCATTGCTGCTCTTTCTGGATGGAGTTGACAGGTCAGTAGACATGGATGTACAAGACGATTCTCTCAAAATGGATCAGAGTCCTTCTATTTATTAATATAATCAGTTTTTGCTGAATAACCATTCATGCTGGATCTCAACAGCCCATACCCCACCTCTTTTTTTATTAGAAAGAAGTCTATTCTTCCAAGAAACCTGTCAAAATAAGGGGTTACTAATTCTCAGAAGGAGGCTGTAGGAGACAGATGCCATTGAAGGTGTTGAAGTAGTTGGGGCCTCATAGCTTAAATAACCTTGCTTGTGGGCACCTTTGTGGCCCTGCATGAACTTTCTTTCCATCCAGCACATTTCTCATTCACTAAAACTGGTATCATTTTCATTTAGTGTCCTGCCAGTTTCCTTTCATTTGTGTCCTGTCTACTTGGCATCTGTGGTTCTTATCTCTGGACAGCTGGTGCCCCTGTTTTCTCAATGCCTTAAACACAAGCTTACCTCACTTATTGGGAATTCCATCCCTGCTGACAGCCCATATCAAAAATATGTGGGTTTTGTGTTAAGACTTGACAAGTGTCAGAGAATTTGATGGTATTTAATTTATTCTAATTATTATTATTATTATTTTTGAAGGTTACATGCCAAAGACAGGTCCTTTGTGAACCCAGAGTGGAAAATAATTTGTAATTTAACTTCGTCTTATTTTTATGTGTGCCACTGATAACCCAAATCAGTCTGTCTACAGAAATCGAAAATCTGCTATGCATCTCAGGTCGTGATAGATAAAATATTTTCGACTGGTCAATTAGCTAGATAGAAGAAAGGAGATGAGGAAACTGCATTTCTTGTAGATGCTTAGGAGTCTTCTGGATTTAAAGAATTTTACATCTGATTCTTTCCCAAATGATTTTTAATTTAGAAAGCTGTTTAGAGGTAGACAGTTGAAATTCTACTACTATTATTACTATAAATTATTATCTAGCAAAAGGACATTTAAAATCCACAAAGAAAAATCTTGAAATTTTAATCATTCATTCATTCTTGCCATCATTTACTCATTTAGCAATTACGTATGAAGGCATTGCTATCTTATCATGTTTTCTACTACTTCTTTGTTTTCTGCGTTTTGCTGTTTGGAGGATTAAGTTTTTTGTTTTGTTCTTCTATTGTTTAATCTTTCTAAAAGTTTAAGACTTAAATACTAAATTTATATTTTCTTATTGATTGCTCTTGTGCTTTCCCCAAGAATATTTAATGCAATGAAGAACAAAGTTGTTTACTAAAAATTTTCAATATAAGGCTTTTTAGAATACTTGGGTTAGGCATTGCACTGCTAGTCGCAAGTTCTGTGATTTAAACCCATTGGCTGCTCCTCAGGAGAAAGAAGAGGCTGTTTGTTCCTGTAAAGATGTATAGTCTCAGAAATTCTCTACAGGGTCACTATGAGTCAGAATTGACTTGATGGCCTTGGTTTTTGTTTTGTTTTTTTTAACCATAAACTTGCTTGCTCTGTTGCCTAATAGTTTGTCTATTTTTCTAATTTTAAGTAGTCACTGTATCCAGGCCCTGTACTTGGCGACAGGAGGGTTTTTTTGTTTGTTTGTTTGTTTTTTTAAGGAGTCCCTTAAGAGGCCAAACAGGAATGCTGGTGATGCAATAACCCCTACAGAGGGGCTGACACTTTGCAACAATGGGCTCAGACACAACAATTGTCATTATAGTGCAGGACCAGTCAGTGTTTCTTTCTGTTGTGCATAGAATTGCTGAGTCATAATTGACTTTATGGTGATGCTGTAGGATAATCACTGGTCCACAAGGTCAGCTGTTCAAACTCACCAATCACTTCTCAGAAGTCTATACAGGGTTGCTATGAGTTGGAACTGACTCTAGGGCACTTAACAACAACAACCAATACTTAAGAAAAAGCTAATTAACTGTCATGAATTCCTAAGTAAACAAAGCAAAAAAACAACTGTAATCTCTTAAAAAATAAAATGCCACATTTTGTTGACATTTCTTCTGTTTACAATGGTAGAATATATTCTGGAAGCTTATGTGGTCTTTTCCCCAAATATACACAGGAATGAAGGTAATATTATGAAACAATTTATGCCATTTATATATTTCTGATATTTCCTTAATTCTTCTTGCATAGAAATCTTACTGCAATAATCCAAAAATAAATCATAAATGGAATTGAGGTCTTGAGTCCCTGGTTTCATTAGAATTATGTTTCTGCATATGAGTTAGTTCTTTAGAGATTATTTTATCCTGCTAAAAATAGTGACTCATACAGAACCATTACAATAAACACAGTCATCTTAGTGATATTTCCAAGAGCTATGACCCCTATACAGGGTCGTTATGGTCGGAACCGACTCGACAGCACTTAACAACAACAACAATCAAGTATATGATTTTACTTGCTTTTCGATGGGTGTTCTTTTTCTTTGGTTGTCAATGAGACTAATTGTCACAGTTAATCTTTCAGACCTCAAGCAGAAACTCATTGCAACTGAGTCCATTCTGACTAATAAGGACCATATATGACAAAGTAGAGCTGCCTCATAGGGTTTCCAAGGCTGTAAATCTTTACCGAAGCTGATTGTCCCATCTGTCTCCTGCAAAGCAGCTGGTCAAACAACCGAACACTTTAACCACTGCATCATCAGGATGCATAATCTTTCAGAAGCTTATATGTGTGCAGTTCAGGTGTGAAGTTCTTTTGGGAAGCTATGGGGTTTTACCACATTACATTTACTCTTTTGTCATAACATATTATTATTGGTTGTTGTTGCTGTTGTAAAGTGTCATCTAGTCAGTTCTGACTCAGAACCACACTGTAAAGGGTTTCCAAGGAATAGCTAATAAATTTGAGCCATCTATCTTGCAGTCCAGGGCATTATACCAGGGATCTCTTTTAATTCTTTAAAGAAATCTTTTAATTATTAGTTATTAATATTAATCTTATAATTATTATTGGAACCTCTCTTAATTCTTTTAAGAGGAATTCCTGAAAGTTCCTTTCCCAGCCCTCCTTTGCCATCACT